CACTTTTACTTGACTTTTGTTATCTTTATTAAGTTGTTTGACTGCATTTATGAATGTTGTTTGATGTTCCTTTTTCTTCCATTGCCCCCATACTTCTTTTACTGGTACATTATCATAAGCCTTTTTGAGGTCAATGAAAATTATGTTGAAGTTCTCTTCCTCGCTCAATTGTTTTTTCCATCAGTTTGTTTGAGACAGAAAATAATGTTAATACACGATCTTCTGGTCTAAAACCACTTTGCTCTTCTGAGTCTGATGTTTGCATTTCAATTCTATTCTTTAGGCACTCGCCATACAGTCTAACCAAAGATGAAGTCACACTTATCCCTCTATAATTATTACAATCTTTTTTACAACCTTTTTTGTAAATTGAATTTATGTAGGCTAATTCCATATTTCAGGTATTTTACTGCTTTTAAAATGCCATTGAATATTTCAGTAATTAATTCCAAACCTATGATAGGATAATGTTTAACCAGTTCTTATGGATATACCTCCAGCCCAGGTGCTTTATAATTTTCTTGTTCTTAACACCTTTTTTAACTCTTCCAAAGTCACATCTTGGTGCGATGGAATTTACGTGCAGTGGTTCATAATTTATTCCCTGAAATTTAGCTCTATTTTCTGTGAAAATATTTTCATATATTTTTTGCCATTTTTCAATACCAATTGGGTCTACTAAATGCCATTCTTGGGTTGTATTCAATTTCATGGAATGTAACATTTTCCATGCCTCTCTGGATTTGGTGTTACCAATGCACTGTCTATCTGTCACATTTTTGTTCCCAGAATACATTTTTTGCCTTCTTCACTTCTTTCTTGACCAAATATTTCATTCTGTTTATATTCACTTCTGTCTTCTAAATCTTTGTGGAAAGCCATCTCAAATATAACTTTTTCTTTTCTTCGACCAGATTTTTTATATCTTCTGTCCACCACAAGTCTTTTTGTTTATATTACATTTTCCCTCCTCTCCCAAAGCTTCTTTAGCGGCTCTGAGTGCATTTTCTAAAAATTGGTATTTTTCTTCAGTACTCCTATTGCGATGTAATTTAATTTTTCTGCCATGCACAATTGTACAAAAATGCAATAGAATCATCTTGAAGGCTCTATATTGTATTTCGGCCACATCTGACTCTCCATTTTTTCACCTTTTGTATTTGGTTTTGTGTTTCCGTAACTTTTTGAAGTACGGTTTATACATAAGGTAAGCTTTTCCTTTTTAGTAGGTTGTGATCTGATCCACAGGAAGCACCTCTTTGAACTCGAACATCGCTCCACTTTATTGATGTCTGTTGTTTAGTAATTATGTAGTCAATTATTGATTGCATTTTCTAGTGGGTTGGGTCCATGTGAATTTATGTATTTCTTTATGTGGAAAATAGCCATTCAATATTTAAGGTCATACAGTTCACATGTCTCTATAAGTCTTTCTCCGTTGTCATTTAATACATTTTCACCGTATCGCCCCACAACATTATAGCGCCATTCGTTTCCAACTCTTCCATTAAATCACCTAGAAGCACCACTTCTTTGCCATTTCCAATAGAATCCACAGCATAGTCAGTTTCTCTAAAAATATCTTTTTCTGCAACACTTGCATTGTCTGTTGGAGCATAAATTCCTATAATAAAAACATTGCGGCCTCTTAGTACAAGTTCGAGACATGCTATTCTCTCATCAATTGCTACCCAGCTTTGAATATTTTTCTCCAATCTTTTATGTACAGCTATGGACCTCCTGCTCTTGTTCGCTTTTCTTTTTCCACTCCGCTAAAAAAGTGAACATAATTTCCTTTCATTTCCATTTCCTTCTATTTTGTTTCACTCAACACTCTTATAATCTATGTTAAACTCCTCTATTGCCGTTAAAAACATTCATTTACTTTAGTGCTTAAACCTTGAACATTCCAGCATCCAAAATTCATAGACCATTTTCTTTGCCTTTGTCGATGTCGTGAGTTAATCCGAGGCTCATTTCCATTGAGAGTTTGAGCGGCTTTTTTTATTTTCCGATTATGGGGGTGCTGGCCCCATGCCTCAACCCCCTTCCAGGAGGATCGGGTAATTTTGTTTTAGGGTTTTCTTCCCTTAGATTGAGTGTCTTCCAAGACTCCGGAGCTCAATCTACCCCTATTTGAAGCACTTCTGCTTCTGAACAGGAAAAAGGGAATGGTAAGGATACACCTAAGGTTAGAAAACGGAAGCCTCTGAGCTACTCAATCCACCCATTGGCTCCCGGGGTTCGGGAAAGGATTTTAGGTAAGGAGGATATCTTACAGTTATGGACAGCGGTCAGCCACTCCTTTGTAGGTAGGAGAAACCAGGCTAATTGTTGCATTCCCCACCCACCGGTGAGGGCGTGCAGGGCGATGGGGTCGCGACATCACTACGCCAAATACAAAAAGTGAAAATAAATTATAGCTCAATAAAAAAAATTGTTTATTTTATTTGCGTTTTGTATTTAAATTTATGATAATTAAAGTCTGAATTAGTAATCAATGCTGACTGCACCTAAAAATAAGATTGGGGGCAAATTTTGAGTGAAGGAAGGACGCACAGGTGAGAGAATTTTTGATCAGTCGTGCACACACTGTCATTTTGGATGGGGCATGGGCGAGAATCTACTGTGCCGATTTAATCGTGTTCTACAAAATACTATGTAAAACTGATGTATGAGATTCAATACAAAATTAATGAAAAAAATTCCATTTATTGTAGCAACTTCAAATAACTTACAATTATGTTTTAAAACAAATTAATAATAATAATTTTTTAGTATAAGATTAAAAAAGTATAAGTAAAAAAGTAAAGTATTTAGTATAAGACGTTTTTCAATATGTTAAAAAATGTTAAAAAGATACCAATGTTAATTTACGATAATCGATTATCTACTTCCTTAATGTATGGACGTGTAAAGCTGTCTCAAACTCTGTTTAGTCTTACACAATTTATGGATGGCCCCTTAAAGAATAAGAGCATTCTATAGATTTTGAACTTGTGATATTGGAATAGGAAATTGTTGGTTTAGTTTTGTTTTTTAGTAACTAATTATTTGTTATTGCTTTTTTTATTATTATTTCTAATTCATTGGTGTGTAATCCATTGTTTTGATTTGTAGGGGTGTCATGAAAATCGGATTCATTTTCAATGCATTCAAAAGATCAATTGTTGATTTCCTTTTCATGGTACTCACAGTTTTGAGGGAGATCTGTTCCTCCTTGATAGCCTCAAAGTTCCCACTCCAGGAGTGGGAGTTCTGCGCTTTGATTTAACTTCCTTGGACCCAAGGGCTGGTACAAGTCATGCTTTGATATTAACATTGTTACATGGAATGTACTATGAAAAAAATTATTCTGTAAAATACATAAAGAATTATCTATGACTTACATTATAAAATACTTCAAATATTTTACCCTACTTTTAAAAGTAACTATTTTTCATTAAAAAAGAAATCTATTTCAGTTGAGGCACAGTAACACATGAAATGAACAAATGAAGTGTCATTTGGAACTGTCGTACAGTGGCATAAATGAAATGCACAAAGATAAAATTTTAAAGTGAAACCTTCCAATAAGTAATGAAACAAAAAAGGGAAAATGTTAAGAATTATAGTTATTACTGATAAGAAAAATAATTGTGTATTTTGTTCTCTTCTCCAGTTTCCAACATTTTAACAATATTTTGTAAAAGTAAATAAATAAAAGTCCAAATAGTACAAAGAGAAAAGGCTGAAGTTGGAGGTTACAGCTTCATTATTTTGAGTTTTTATCCACTAATAAGATTTAAATCTAACATAGTCTTTCAGATAACGAAATTATTTGGTATAATCATCCATTTTGAATTTGGTCAATTGATTTATAATAATTATAATCTATTCTGTATATAGACACAAAGGAAAGATGCGAGTAGTACAATTTAAGTATATTAACTCATTACTATATATTAATGAAGCACTGCTGGCTTGGTAATTTCCTTGTAGGGGTGTATCAGTCAGATTTGTGATGAGACATTTAGAATATTGTAGATTATTCTTGGGTAAAAAATTGTAGGAATTTTTTCATTCCACAATTCAGCTATACACACAAGTTTCCCATTCTGCATACCTTACCCCTACCTTCTTTACCAATATTAGTTGAATTATAAATAAATAATCGCAAGAAGCATTTTTGACAAAATCTGATTACCAGAAATGTTCTCACCCATGTAATAGAAACTATTTTGTACTAAAAAACAAGCTACTTTTTATGCTAATTCTTCTCTAAAACCAAATTGCCCACTCTTCACTTATCTGTAAGGAAATGAAGACTTGTTACTAGATGTGTAACTCAAGAACAGAGTATCCTAGGCCAGTAAAACGTGTTTTTGTGACCCTCCTGGAGGCTTCCAGTTCTGTTTATTAGGCCCTATTCTAAATAATGAGTTTTTTTTTAAAGAGATTTAGCTCTTCTATGAATTCCCATTCCATTATGCATGTGATTAGAATCTTGCAGAATCATGAAAACTGGGTAAAATTCACGTGATCTTCTACGCAATGTAATTGCGATTGTTTAATCCTTTCTTAATAAACACCCGGCAATATTGGAGTGTTTACTTGTGTAGCAGCAACATTGGAGAGTTTACAGGACCTTTAAGATGTAACACACATTTCAGGGCATGGATGTTCGAGTTTGGATTTCAACATGAAGTTCTTTTCACTTTTAAAACAATGATTTACGATGTGTGATATGCCTACTAACAGGTCCAGTCATTCAATAACACATGGTTCAATGATTAACATTATGGTTTGTCAACCAGCTTTTCTATTGTCTTAAAAGAGTGTGCCGAATATACCAAAATTGGACATAAGTTAAAAAAATGTGTAGTGTAGTAAGTGTTATTACAAAAAAATATTTTTTCTTTAGTAATTACATTGTATTTACAATTACTGAGGAAAAGAAACTGTGATTCTAATATTTTATCTTTTACATCACAATAATGATTTGCAAAAATTTGTTACAGATTCAGAGTCCAAAGATGAAGATGGTCAAATTGTGGATATGAAAGATGGAAAAGCAGGGAAGACGTCTGAAACTAAACCAAGCTCAAAGTCTTCAGACCAGGCGAACAATACTCCTGTAACTTTAAAAATTAAACGTTCATCTCCGTCATGGTCAGGTGAAGAGAAGGATACATTCTTTCAAGCCCTCAATGAATATGGGAAAGACTTTGAATCCATCCATAGTGTGTTTATTGCGAAAGCACATGAGAAGAATTTTCCAGAAAATTTAGTCAAGAGCAAGGAACAAATTCGCCTCTTTTATTATAGAACATGGCACAAACTCTCCAAACATTTGAAGTTTGATCCCGGTAAGAATCCTGTATATTGTGAGATGGTGATTCCTAACAGGAGTGTGAATTCTTCTAGAGGTCCCATGAGCAAAATAAATGAAATATAAATTAATAAATGTTGAAAAGAATGTGTGCATTTGGTTGGTACTTAATTTTTTTAGTGAGATTTAAATAGCACCGAATTTGTCATGCACCCTGCAATATTTTTCCCTTTTGACTAATTTGAGGCTGTTCAGATTTTGTTGCAACCAATTAATATTATTCTGTGCAACATAGGGCCTAATGTAAATTCTATATTATACTGACAGAACCTCTCTTTACCTCCCTGCTTGTAATTCCCGTGATGTTTTCCCTCTTATTTTTTCTTTAGTAATTAGGTTGAGTAACTATTGACCTAGGGAATTCCATATAGCAGGGACACTGCTTGAGATTTGGGTGAACTTTAAATCATTTATTTAAGAGGACTGATTTTGGAGAGGCTTCCTGAGAATATTTTACTAATTCTTATTATCGAGTTAAAATATAATTGTAAATTGACTAGAAAATCCCTTTGTTGATGAGAATATAAATTATTCAGCCCGAGCTACCACAATTTTCGTTTTTCTTAAAATTATCATTTTTGCCATTACCATAATCACCTTCACAAGTATAATTGTTTCTGACTTTTTAGTATTGCCCAACCTTTCATTTTGCAAATAAGTAAAGAATGACATGATCTCTTTTTTTCCCTCCGTTTGCTTAATGTGAATTTTAATTGATCATCTATATTAATAAGGAAAAAGTTGTTCGTATTATTTCTTTTTTTTTCATGTTTCGACAATTTCTCTATATTGTCATCATCAGATTCTGAAATTATATGACTCTACAATAATTTAACCCATTTCAGTTAAACAATAATAAATAATCATAATAGTTCAACAATTATGAATTTATACTAACCAGAAAAATTATCATTAAACAAATCAAAACTTGCGTATTCTATCGTGTAGATAGAATGTATAAAGTCATCATCACAACTGTGGACAACAGTGATGTTAATTTACTATTATTCAGTTATGACATTTTTTAAAATTATATGCAAACAGAATAATAAATATAGAAAGTAATAAAACTCAAATGAGATGAAACGCACCTCTGGAATCAAACATGTATGAAGTACATATTCCATTCATATTCAATGGCTTTTGGCCGGTGACTGGTTATAAATGCCTCATCTGAAACACACAATGGTGAAACTGAAAGAAGGAAAGGGAGTAAGAAGAGATGGTTGTATATTTGCAAGGAGGGGAATGTGTCAAGCAACTAAAACAGGAAAACTAAAGATAGTCAAATTCAAATCTACAAATGTTATTTAATCTATATCAGAGAAAAGAATTTGCAATCATATATAAAATTAGTGTGTGTTCTGGGCTGTCCGGGTGACGCCACGTCGAAGGCAACACAGCCTTCAACGTGGCGTCACCCGGACAGATCACGCACATGACTATGGCTCCGAAACCTATGACTTCATATATAAAATTAATGTCTGTAAATTATAAAAATGTAAATTATGTATAAAATTAATAAATGTCCCAACCTATTTTCCATTAGTTATAATGTCAGTAACGGGTTGTTATATATACTTTTTTATACCAAAATAATTCTTGAGATATCTGATATTTCACTATGTTTACATAAGCAAGAGTTGCACCTTTTTAAAGCACTCTCTTGGTATAAATATGATGCACCTTCGTTATTGGAATCCAGAAATTTGGGCATTTATTTTAGTCAAAAGGGCATTTATTCTCTCTTAGTGGGAATGCAAAAAATGACAAATGCATTTGAACCCTTAATCACTTAACTTACCAATTATAAAACAAAAGGTATTCCAAAAATTTTCAATTTTTGTTTTCTATGAATAGCAGACTTAGTTTTCAAAATTAAATCTTTTAACATTCTTCGGACATAGCCTCTGCACAAATTTTTTCCAATTTTTTTGTGGTATCTTTGAAGTGTCACATCTTCTAAACCAATAAACATAGAAGTGAAATTCGTTTTTCAAACAACTATCTTGATCTTTTATAGAGTTCCAACTTTTATGTTTACACTAATAGTTTAAAATATTTTTTTAAATATAAATAACACAAAGGCTGTAGCAGGATAAAAAGTGGGGGAGTGTCCCCCAGTGTAATTCAATTTTGAATAGAGGGCATGTTTAATGTAATTTTGAAAGTCATTTTCCGCCAATCTTGGAACGATACCCTGCTTAATTGCAAGATATCAGAATAAATACTTATTTTGGGTTTTTGATTTTTTATATCATTACTCAAAAACCAAATTCTGAAAAAATTGAGGCGAATCTATACGTATCTTGATGAGTTCTTTCAAAACAAAGTAGCGGGAAATTCAATTTTTAAAATATTATTAAATTATTATTCGGTATGATGTGCTTATCTTGATTGCCCAATGTCCCCAATTTAAAATACTCTTGGCTATACAACGGCACAATCTGGATATAGAATATATGCATATTTCATGTCAATAAAGAATATCATATTGATTTTAATTTTAATTATACTCCCTTAACCTATAGGTGTTTCATTATGTCTATTAACATATCCTGAAATGTTATATGTGCTATTACTGCAGAACCCACAAGTTAAAAATTGAGGCGGAGCCTAGCAGAGCTGATATTTTTAATTTGGATGAGGCAGTAATAATATTGTAATATTTCGTGGTATGTTCAACATTTTTTTTGGTCACTGTTAAATCTAACGATTTCTGCAAAAATTTACAACTTTACTGCAATAGTAAACAAATGAATTCTGTTGGTATGGCAATTTAATATGATGTTGTGAGGTATTGAATAATTCTCATGAATCTTAAGATACCTAAACAAATGATGTTCGGTGAGGAAGTTGGTGTGTCAGTTCCCAGTGGCAACAACTTCATATCGTCAGTAAATATGATTACCAGAGAAAAATTTCATTTAGTGTAATATCAGGAAAATGAGGTTAATGTACTTCATGTTTATTTATTCTTCATTATAGGGACAAAGTATGTTCAAATGTAAACACAATTGTACAGAAATTGTAGCAAAACAACAAAGCTCTGAGGCTTTTGGTATTTCTGACTTGCTTTCTTTAGAGTTGTGAAAAGAACTACTCATACTTTCTAAATTAATATCACATTACCTATTTGTATTCCAAAATCAAACACACTGCTCTCTTATTGAATGTTGCTACATTAATGCCACATAATTCAATCCCATGTACATTTACTAAGTTGCATATTCTTGTTATGTAAGTGTAAAATAGCGGTGGAATTTATCTTCCCGTTTATTTGGCACATTAAATCTCAATTCGTGTGATAATGATGCGCTAGTAATATTACTGTTGACAAATTTATAAATAAATTCAATGTCCTTCAATTCTTGACTATTTGAATGATAGGATCCCCAACATTGACGAAATCGTCTGATAATTATGATCTAAAAAGGGATCAGGTAATTCAAGATAATGAACAGCCATAATGAAAAACTTACATTGCACTGTTTTGATACTTTTATATGATCATCAAACAAAGGATTCCAAATAGGTGAGCCAAAAGGGAGAAAATGTCTAATGAGCAATAGGTATCATGTTTACAATATTCTAATTCATGACGACTCTTTTTGACAAATCGTAACATTTGAGTAAATTTATTGATTATTTTATCTATATGGTCATTAAATTTCAATTTATCATCAAATATTACTTTTAAGTTTTTCATGGAGTTAATTTTAAAAGATTTTTGCCGTTGATAGAATAAATATTTGGAATTATATTTCTAGTATGACAAAAATTAATTGTTTCACACTTTTCTCGGTTTAAATAATGTTATTTATACACGAAGCTTAGAGTGTATTAATGGTATTTTGCAGGTTGATAATGTCTTTATGAAAGGAAATGTATTTATATAGCTTTAGATCATACAAGAAAAATTAAATGTCGTTGAGTATGAGGCATTCGTCATCAGTAAATAAAATAAATAAGAGGACCGAGATGTATACCTTGAGGAACTCCTGAGTGCACTTCTATTCCAGATGATTCAAAATTTCTGTACTTCACGTGTTGCAATTTACCAATCAAGTAACTTCTAAACCAGTTAAGCAAAGGACCTGCAATACCAAATGACTTTAATTATAAAGAATGATTGACAGAGTCTTAACGCCTATTTGAAGTCCATGTAAATACTGTCTTGAAATTTTTTTTTCTCAATAGAATTTAAAATGTAATGAGTATAAGTAGATAGGTTTGATTCAATGCTCCTACCAGAGTTAAAGCCAGATTGTTTTGATGAAATTTATGGAAAAAATTTAGTTTGTTGCTATTTATAGGTTGTAATAGTTTTGGAATGGCGCGGAAAATAGAAATAGGTCTGTATTTTGATATTTTGTTTAAAACCTTATTTATGAATTGGGGTAATGCAGGCTGATATGCATTCGACTAGGAAAGTACCCTTGGAAATGGATTTTGTAAACTGGAGTTCTAGAATATTGGACATTATATACATTCTTTTAATAAAATCGGCAGCACTCCATTAGGTTCCTCTCTCTTACTTGAATAAGTTTATTTATTTTACAGAATATATCATTAACCATGACTTCTACTGTTCAAATGTTGAACAGTTTTTCATCATTATGAGTGGCATGAAGATTGTTGGTTTATAAAAAGCTTTAAAATACTCTGCAAACACGCTGAGAATTGCTTTGCCATTATTATATAGATTTTATTTATTAAACATCAAAATATGAATGCTCTTAGTATTTTTTGAAATTAACATACCTCAAAAACTTTTTTGGATTAAGCACTATAGAATTTCTGGTATCATCACAATAACATTTAAAATACCTTCTTGATAACCATTTATAAGTTTGCCTTAGTTGAGCAAAAATGTTATAACTCCTAGTTACCTCTTATCTGTATGTAATCTTAGTACGAAGAATTGAATATTTTTTTTATCGCTATTCCACACTGTGGGAAACTGGACTTTACTATTCTTTTCTTAGGTACATATATTTCAATGAAATAATATAAAACGCTGAAATATTTGATTGCTGCTTTTCCAACAGCAAGATCGTCACAAATCGAGAACTGGTGAAAATCCTTAAAGAAAGGTTAGAAAAAACTACTGAGGAGTTGAGTAAAATAAACTCACTAATCTTGAAGTAACCAAAAGGAGGATACGACAAGTATCCAGAAAGATGTCAACAAAACTGCAAATACAGTAAGCAAGCTTACAGCAGACATTCAATCTTGCAAGGAAGGGCAGAAGAAAAATTCTGAGAAAACTGGATATACAAGCTGAGCATAACATTGAATATGCTATTAGATTGAGCAAACTGAACTTACAGTAAGAGGACCAAGACCTGTCAAAATAATTTTGAGAGAATTGTTACTGCCAAAAATATTTTAAAAAAACAGAAGAAAATTCCACATGGAATTAAAGCTAGAAACGATCTAACCCCAATGCAGTTATCTGAATTGAAAGATATTAGTGCAGAACTAAAAAGCAGACAAGAATCAAACCCAAAACTTGTCATTAAATACATTAGGGGGGTTACACAGATTGTAGGTGAGTAGGGAAAGGAAAAAAGGCAGTAACAAGCATCTCTGACACAAATACAAAAATTATGTACAGGAACATTGCTGCTCTCTTTCCAAAGTTTGACCAATTTTTGGTAGAAGTAAACACTGTGCAACCAGATGTAGTAGTAATTACCGAATCATGGCTCAACTCAAATATTCCTGACTTTTTAATACATATACCTGGCTTTCACATATAGGGCAATGACAGGCAAGGAGGGGGAGTAATAATGTATGTGAAACAAAAAAATTGGAAGTACAACTGTGAAAGGGACAAATACATACTGAATACAAGACCCTCATGTGGAAGCATTCTGATTGAAACTGGAATATCTAAACTATTTGAGGAAATGGCTATGGTATGGGATGTGAAGATACCAGCTATTATTTTTAGAGATTTCAATTTTCCCACAATTACATGCCACCAAACGTGGTCTCTTCCATACACAGAAATTGAAAGAGAATTTATTACACACTATTTAGACCCAAATCTCTATCAAATGGTATTTAAACCTAATGGACACAGAGTAAATCGAACCCCTGTGATTCTTGATTTAGTGTTAACTAATGATGAAGACTTCATTACACCCCCGATTATAAGGCCAATATTCGTCAAAGTGATCACTTGGTGATTATGACATCGCTACTAGTAGAATCGCCCATGAATAGTAGTGTTTCTTATAAATCCATCTTTAAATGAAATTTCTTCCAAGCAGACTAAATAACAATAGTGAGACCCCTTACTGAACACCATACATTACGAAATACAGATATTAACGAATACTCTGAAAACAACAATGTTGAAACTAACTACGAGAATTTTTGTGAAACATCTAAGGGTCTTTTAAATACTCATTCAGCACATATCAAATATAAAATAAATTTAAATAAACCTTGCATTAATCATGATAACAAGGCAGATTCAAACGTCGAGCATGGGGAAATTATAGAAGAACAGGAACAGGTGAAAGTTATACCATCTATAGGAACATCTAAAACAATTTCACCTCTAATGTGATACGGTGTAAACAAAAACACAAAGAGCAAATTGTTCAGGATGGTGGCAAAAGATTCTTCTCCTATATACGCAGACTAACTAACTGTAAAACTGGTTCTCCTATGATTGTTTTGGATGGACATTCTGCGATAACTGATTCAAGTGAAATTATGGAATGCTTGTCAAATGATTTTGAAAAAGTATATACTGTTAAACCAGGGAGCCCATTGCTGATTATTGAAGAGAAATGTACCGGAATTATTGAAAATATTGAATTTTCAAACACCATAACTTCCCAGATAATGTGCAGACTGAATGCAAGCTCATCCACTGGTCCTGATGATATTCTAACTGTATCAGAAAAACTGTAAACTACAACTAGCCCCTTTACTGAACAGAATATTGAATCAATCATTAGAATCAGGGAAGTTGCCCTCTGCATGGTAAAAAGTTGTCATCACACCAGTTTTCAAGAATGACAAAATGTTACCAAAAATTTACAGACCAATAAGTTTGGCAAGCACAGTGAGGAAAGTCATGGAAAGGATAATTGTTTGATGGCTTTTAGACCATGCATTTCAAAATGATATTATCCCTAACAACAACACGGTTTCATTCCAGGATCCACATGTACTAGTTTACTTCAGTCGCTGGATATAAGAACCAAAGAATTGGATCAAAAACAACCAGTTGACGTCATTTATCTAGATTATGCTTAATCTCTTGATAAACTACCACCTAAATGTCTCATTCCCAAACTCATCTTTAGGTATACGAGGTAAACTATTGAGGTCGATTCAGGAATATTTATCGGGCAGAACATTTCAGGTGGGGATTAGAAACACACTGTCGATAACTTGTGCCGTTACGAGTGGTGTCCCCCAAGGTTCAGCTCTGGGCCCGATACTTTTCATTCTGTACACTTATAAAATAAGTCTGATCTAGAGGGAACTGCTATGTGGATGACACCAAACTTTTCGCAAATCCACTATCAGATGTTACAAAATGACCTCAACAGAGTGGTGAGAGGTCGAAATCTTGGTTGCTGCCTTTAAACTCTGATTAATGTACAGTCCTCCATCTAGGAAAAAATATCCCAAATCTTAATTACATCATTGAAAGTTACATCCTCAATTCTACGATAGAACAAGATGATCTCTGTGCATCCATCTACTGTAAAACTGATGTATACAATGTATATTAGTCCTAAACTAGAGTATGCTAATGTAGTTTGGTTCCGTTATTATTAAAAAGATAAAAACCATATTGAAAAAGTGCAAAGGCATATTACCAAGATCCCTAGAGAACTACGTCAATTGGATTATGAAGGAAGATTTTAAAAATCTTGAATGGATATTATAGCATTCCTGAATTTAACTTCTTTACTAAAGCCACGGAATCTAGACTTGGAGGACATACAATGAAACGGGTGAAAGAAAGGACAAGGACGGACAGCGTTCTCATTTTATTGTAAACCATTAATGATCTTGGATGGAAGCATCAAAATGTGAAGAAGATTATACATTTTCTATTTTTCTATTAATATTACAGTTAATAATTATTTTATAAACCAATTTGAGTTACTTTTATTATGAATTGTTTGAATCTGATTTGTTTTGTACATCGCCATGTTATTTTCTTAATAAACATTTGACTTGCAATGAATTGTTGGTTGTTTATTTACATTGCTAAGGATGTTAAATTTCCTAACATAAAGGTGCACTGAAAAAACTTGTAGGGTTGCATATTAAGAGGGGTTAAAGAAGTATGTGACTGTTAAACATATTAACCAACCTGATACAATATTGCAATCTTGTGTAGCTTGGTTTGTCCCAACCCTACTTTTAATTTTTTTGTTCAATAAGTGCTAAAGGTAAATTGCTTCTTTATCTTTTTATTAATTAAATATATAAGATGAAAAAGACCCAATTAATAGAAAATTATGATGAAATATAACCCTCAAACATTTGATTTGAAATAATGATTTAATTCCCCACCTTTCAAAAATCTGAGGCAATTAAGTGGTTTGTTTTGTATATTAAGTTAGATTTTCTAATATCCTACAATTGTAATTTAAAATAATTTATTTACTTTTGTAAATACATTGTACAAAACAATTATGTTCCTCCTTACAATTCATACGTACTTGGCTGGCACTTCAACCTAAGACTCATAAATTTTGTGTTCCATAAAATGTTTTTTTATTCATATTACAATTTCTGATTTACATTTTTTCCCCTGTAGATGTTAAAAGAGCAATACAAGAATTATATGCCCTTATTAATTATGGAGAATTTCGCAAAAATGTTGGATTTGTGACTGAGAAGACATGTGTGAAGCTAAATGATTTGATTCTTCGTGGGCACACTCATTTTAGAATTAGAGGAAAACACGTACGAGTGAAAACACCTCAGTGCCCAGCTTTGCAGAAGCTCAACAGATTAGATGGTAAGTTAATAGATTCCACTAATTTTTTTTGAATAATGCTGGAATAATATTATATATTTGAGTACTTTTATAAAAAAATATATGTTTATTTAATAGAGACAATCACCCCATATACCATAATTATCCATAAGTGATAATGTGATTATAATAACAAAGTCATATAGAATTTGGCATCATGCAAAATCATATAACAATAATTGTTTAAGAGTGGCTTGATAGTCTTATGGTTTGTTGACAAATCAACGTTCATTGTATTAGCTCTTCTCATGTTTCACAAAGAAGCATTAAACCATAAATTAAATACAGCTATAGGCTCTAAAAATAAATTTTAATTTTTGCTTCTCAAATCTCGACAAGATATTTTTCAAGTTATCATAGACATTAAATAATTATAGTTGATTTCAAATGACAAAATTTAAAAATATTACAGTACATCATTGTAGATACGAAAGAGCTAATATGTAATAGTTGTACCATGCTGTTCATCAATGAAAAAAGGATTGAAAATAGTTTCACAGTTAGTTTCTCAGTTAATATTGATTCAAATAACTTACTAATAATAATTTAGTTTTTCATATCAGTTTTTTTTACCAAATTTGTACGGTAATATGTTTAATATGGCTTTTCTTCCAAGGGATTGGGAAAATACCCTCAGATACGGATTTCGATTGGTGTAATATTGGCTGTACATTCTTTTTTAAAAACATAGGGGTTCTCAAATTGGTTCCAGGGGTCTTTTTAAAAACTAGTGTTTTGGTAACAACATTAAACTTTAATCTGACAAATATTTATGGAAATGATGGTTTTAGGTTGATATTCATGAATATTGTGGACTTGGTAATCATTATCGTCCGATGTGTACTCTGATTCAAAATATTCCGAAAATAAATCAACAATGGTATCGCCAGATTGTGCTATTTTATCATCAAGGGTAACCATACTTGGAAATCCCTTTGAACCATGTTTAAAATCTGTATAATTCCAAAAACCTTTCACGTTATTATCTATTATCATTTCTAATAAATTGCTGGAAATCTTCAATCTTCAGTTTTTTTTTACATTGTGTAATTCTGAGAAGTTAAGTAATTAGTACTGTGAAGAATATAAATCAGATATAGTAATTTACCAGCAATTTTTGATATACTCCCTCAATTTCAAATTGCAATAAATATGAATGCCCAAATATTTTGGAAGTGGAAACCCCTTTTTATCTCGGGAAAATTAGTGTTCATTGTTGCATGAACTTCAGATTACATTTATTCAGAGTACTGTCCGAATAGCTTCCATCAGTAGTAAATTGTCTTTATCACATTATAGCCAAGGTAGTTTTTGTACGGGCATTTTGCTACCAGATTGATTTAATTCAGCTTATTGTAAAACAAGTGTTAATTATGACGAGAGTTGTCAGCAAATGATATCAAATCTCCTTTCGGCAAGGTTTGAAGTTTATCATTTATATATACTAAAAAGGGGTCCTAATATTATTCCCTGAGGAACACACAATGATCACTTGATTCTCCAAAAACTCATGAAATAAAATTTTACTTCTCGTTTATAATCAATCAATTTAAAAGTATATCCACAAAAGTCATATTTAAAAAGTTTTTTTCAATAGTAATATATGATTTATGGTTTAAAAGGCTTTAGGCATAGAAAAAAAAATTGCTCATGTAATATATTGGAGCATTTATATGAAAAATTATTTACATATAGAACAACATTTAAAGCATATACAGTCGACTCCAGCTATAGTGAACTCGGATATAGTGATCCTTCGGTTATAGTGAACTTGTGTCACTGGTCCTGTTTCACTTACATTACAAATAAGCATAAGATTATTTGCTTATAATGTACCTGAACCTCAGCTATAGTAAACATAGGGATTAAGTCCTGGAAATTATTTGGATTTTGTATGTTATTAGGTAAGTAAAAGTTTCTTCAGTGAGTGGGACGGTATTCCAACAGTACAAGAAGCATTGAAAGGTGTCAAGACTGCATTATTATACTTAGAGACAGAGCACAATCCAGAATCAATGGAGAGAGCATGAACTCTGGAGAAAGATATAAAAAAATTACTGAAGAAAAATGTACGAAACAAACAACTGAAAACAATTGATGTTTTAAGCACAAATAAAGATATTTGAATCGTCAATTCGTGCTATTAATGAATTTTGCTATATCTCTATTTTAATAAAATCAATCATTGCGGAGAAATTCTATTTAATTTTGACATATTTGGATCTATGAACCAAATATGTTAGTCCCCAGAAGTTCACTCAACTCAACTCCCATAACCGGAGTTGATTGTATTTATTTAAGCCTAAAAAATTGAATGTTGATAATTATCAAAAATACAAACGTTTTAATAGAAATAGAACTTTTACCATATTTACTGTATTTTACACCATGTTCTTAAAAAAAGGGAAAACAATTTGGTGAGGTTTTTGAGAAAATGTTGTATGTGTAAGTGTGAATGTCATCATACAAACTCTTTAGGTTTAAGTTTCTGTAGGAATAAGCTGGACCTCAAATTGAGCCACATTGTTAAAAACATGTTTAGAAAAAAATTCTGTTGGTGGTTTAGGAGCTAGAACTGTACACAATAATAGACATGTTTGAACCAGATTTTGTAGGGGACCTTGAAAATTGGTCTAGAAACAAAATCTAGAGATCAATTTTTGTACAATTTTATAACTTTCTACATTGGTGTGTTCTCAGGCCTGTGTCATGCTTGTGTTTCACAAGGAGATGAGATGGGATCAAACAATAAGAAAATAATTTTTTACAAAGCTAAATATCTGAAGGCTAATAATGTAGTAGCATTGCAAACTCTGAAAATTGAGAATTATTTTCAGGATAAGATGTTTCCATCATTTGTCTCCATCATAAGATGTCTGCATCATTTATGCTGTGTTTTTCTCTATATAGTACCTGAATGGAAAGAAGAATTGCAACTACCTTCCCATGTAGTTGTAGAACTACGACCCCGCACGGCAAGTGACTGGTGCCGTGTGCAGTCTGTGGCTCAAAATCCACGTGTACGTACTCTACTTCCTTTAGAACAGCGACTGTCATCTCTGTTGGCATTTCTGCAGCAACGATGGCGCCCACCTCTGTTGCAGCATGTATCCTTACTTCAGATCATGAGTTTTCATGCTATTAGAGAGGGGAAAAATGTGGTTCTAAATAAGTAAAAGTAGTAACTGTTGTTAAAATATGTACATGATGCAGTGTTTCTGGAGAGAAAGCGAGATAGAATTGTAACTTGCAGGTTCTTTTATTCTCTTCTTTTGCAATTTTGCAACTTGAAGGCAACAAATTGATACAAGACAATGCATATCTGCTTCCAGTGGCAGGAAGCTCTAGAGGCTCTATAGTAATAAAGATCAGTGATTTTGTGATAATTTTCAAATGTGATCAAAGAAAATTATAATTTATCTTACGTATGAAAGATTTCACAATATATATTATATTATATAAATATATGCATAAAACTTGAAATTCAACAATAATTCTCTATTTATTTGAAATTGTAATTAAATTTTAAAAAAAATTCTGCAATTATATAAGTAAAACAAAAGTACATGCAACTCAGGGGAAAGTGATAACAATTCAGGGAAAATATATGGAAAACACAGGGAAAATAAATTTGGGTTACCAGCGGTCACCCTGTAAACACTCACATTATTGTTGCTGGACACATTATTGCCCTGTCAGAATTAATTTATTTCTTGAACTTATGTTCAAAAGTAAGCAAAACTAAAGAGGGATAATTTTTTTTGTAGCTTATATATCTGAAGACTAAAACATTTATCTCCAACATCTTAATGATAATGCTCGATTGTTCATGGTAGGTCCTGTAGCCTTGGATGCATTTGTTTGTTGTCCACCTGCTCACTGTTTAACCATGATATTTCTTTGCTTAAAAGTTGTTTTTTAAGGAGGAATTTATTTGGTCAGAAAAGGCATATTTACTCATCAAATTCAAAACAGTTATGCAAATGAGTCATTTCACCCCTTCGTATGAAATAATGATTTAACATTCGATCTTTTTCTGCCCTGTACAATAATTAAAGAATATTTATAATGACTAACCCTAATATTCAAAACGGCTGAATTTTCAAAGCAAGAGATGAGCAAACTCATCAAGATACTAATACAAAATAGAAAAGTTTAATGAGGTGTTACTTTGTCACACCAGTTAAAAGGTAATTGTTGTATAACAAATGTGAAAAGTTGGAATCTAACTAGAATTTTTTTTCTGTGTGAATAATAATAATAATAATAATAATAATTATTATTATTATTATTGTTATTATTATTGTTGTTATTGTTATATAAATTTTTATCATCTTTATTATTATCATTACTACCACTATCATCATCTTTTCATATAGCATCTGTTTTTTTGTTTGTTTTTTTTTTCAAATTAATGAGTTATACACCTGTATTAGGAGTCAGAACATCCCTCCATTGCCTGTCAACTAAACTGTGTGGGTGTGTGGGAGGGGGGTGCTTGCATCAGAGCAATTAGAGAGTATGATGAATAATTATTAGTCTTTGAAATGTGATGAGGTATTGGAAATAATCAAACTTCCCCAAACTTCAATGCTTACTGAGACCTATGTCTCTGTGAGGCCTGGAAACATCGATCTTCCACAACACCTGGTCATGTGAGGTCTCCGTTCCTGGTGCTCCTTGATGTCTTGTTTGGGTGGTAGTCTGACCAGCTGGCAGGTGGTTAGAGGAGAACCTTATTCGTCTTACTAAGGTTGCCTTTTATATTTCGGGATTTGGCAACCCTGGTGTTGCAATCTTGCAACTGACAGCTCTATCGTAAAGTTGGATGTTTTGAGGCTACACGTACTTAGAACGTTTTGACATACAAGCGCTATTTGTGTTGTGTACAGTAACTTAAAAGATTCATTTTGGCCCAGAAATGGAATTAAATCGTGAACATTTTCATGCGATTATTTTTTACAATTTTCGACGTGGATTAACTCAGCAACAGTGCATGGATGAACTTAATTCAATTTTTGGCGATGAAGCTCCATCAAGGACCAGTGTTTATCGATGGTATGGTGAATTCAATCGTGGTCGTAGTTCACTCCAAGACGAATTGCTCGTAGGTCGTCCAAAATCAGCTGTTGTTCCGAAAACCATTGATGCTGTGCGTGAACTGATATTGCAAGATCATGTGACCTATCGTGAGATTGAGACAACCTTAGGCATTAGTAGGACCAGCATTCATTCAATATCGCATGAACATTTGACTGTCAAAAACATTTGTTGCGTTGGATCCCACACAATTTGTCAATCGCTGAAAAAAAGGCTCGTGTCGATTGGTCGAAAGAAATGCTCAAAAAATACGATCGCGGTGCTTCGAAACACGTCTATGACATCGTGACAGGTTATAAATCGTGGATTTACGCGTATGAGCCCGAAAGTAAACAGCAGTCGACTGTATGGGTGTTTGGGCGTCAAGATGAGCAAAATCCAACAAACGTTGTTCGCGCAAGAAGCACTTCCAACAGTGCTCGCTTTTTTTTTTTCTCGGGGAAACTGGACTTGTCTCAACCGTACCACTAGAACAACGCAGAACAGTTAATTCTGGGTGGTACACGACGATTCGTTTGCCAGCTGTCTTCCAAGAAATAAGGAAAACCAACCGTCAAAGACGGATCACTCTTCACCACGACAATGCGAGCTCTCGCACATCGGCTCAAACAACTGCATGTTTGAGCACCCAAAATGATGAGTCATGAGTCCTGACTTGGCACCGAATGACTTCTTTTTATTCCCGTACGTAAAAAACAACCTGAGAGGTCAACGTTTTTCGACACCTGAAGAAGCGGCTGCATTCAGAATCCATGTTTTGGAGATACCTCAATCAGAGCTACAAAAGTGCTTCGACAATTGGTTCAAACGCATCCAACAGTGTATAGATCTTCATGGGAAATATTTTGAAAAACAATAAATTGATTTTCGAAGATTAATATTTGTTTTTGTTCTCTAATCCTGAAATATAAAAGGCAACCCTCGTACACCTTTGTGCAGTCCACCTCCATGAATTTTGTCGCAAGGAAAGTTGTGTCCAAAATGCTGGTGACTCCCAGATGGCCAAGTATCTAGGGCTGTGGCATAAATAATTAAATTTTGGGTAAGATTTTAAATAAACATTGATATTGATTAACTATCACCTGTTAATTTACCCACAGTAAAATTTCACTTATGTTTTTCAGCAGACAGAAGGGAGAAAATGTGAGAAAAATGCATTACTGAAATTTAATATTATTAGCTAACCAAAAACTCAATATTTTGATAAATAAATAGAGATATTGTCAGGTATCAATATTTTGATTCAACTAATGGTTGGTCTCCTCGTTGGTCTCCGACTTTTACAAGACATCCCTGAAATTTGGTCTGGCAAACTCTACATAATGGTTCAACACAGATGCATCGTTAGGGAGTAACCCTAAATTCATCAATATTCAATCAAAAGCTCGTCATTTGCCGCCTCGAAAGCAACCGCTGCACCCGCTCTTCCTGGCTACATTGGGAGAGAAACGATGGTACGCTACTCGTGACCGTCTCTCACTGCAAAAACACGAACTATCTCTACACCTGTCCTCTTCAACTTCCTGCTGAGTGGAGAGTGCTCCTGGACTCCATTAGTAGCCGCATCTTTTTGAATATGCAGCCGCCGGAAACAAAAACAGGTAAGCAACTGGAACGTCTTTTCTTGCACGCAAAGCGCTCATATCAAACACTTACAATACCATCTGACTCTGTGAATTCACCCCAACTTCACCCTCGGTATCATAAATCTTTCATCTCTACTCTGTTATTCCCATTACTGAAGCCACACGCCTACAAAAGGTCTTCAAATATTCACCTCCTTCTCCACCCGCCAATTACTCTAAAAATCTGTATATTCACCTAGACACGTCCTTCCAAATGATGCTAATCACACAGAAATAAGCACAACTGTTACACATACTATCAACAAACATATTGAACACCACTCGCAACCCAAAGCCCATCTCATCAGAAACAATTAACTACTAAAAAACTAAAAGACCAAAATCTCCCAAGGACAATATTGCTTATAACAAGAAGCGGACAAAGGCAATTCTTATAGAGATTTCTGCGACAGGAAGAATACAACAACAAAGACTCGATTTTATCAAGGCAACAACGGCATTCCACTCCTACAAAACGACCCCCATAACAACACCACACTTCCTTATAAAACAGAAATCGCTGAATCTAAAGCTCATTCACTCATCCACAGAAATTCTTCCACGCAATCCCACTCCCTCCGACATATTATATGGTTTTCCTAACAAACACAAATCAAACTGTCCCATTAGACTTGTAGTATCTACACTAGCACAACTAACACACAGAATTGCTTTACACAACTTGAACAAGACTTTCAAAAAATACGTTCAGATTACACAACCTCAACACACAATACTCAACCAGTTCTGTCCTCATTAACAAGATAAACGGACTTCCCCAGTCCCTCTAACGCCACCTTGTTCTCCTTTGAGTTGGTGGTAAAATCTTTTTCCCAGATGTGCCTACATCTGACTGCAAGAATATATCTTAAAGACCAAGATTGACAATCCCCCAGTGTGCCGTTCCACATCAAACGAACTGTTACAATCTTAATTCCTGTGCAAGATGCCAAACTACTTCAAATTTATGACAAATTTCTACACCCAAGCATTATGGACTACCCTGGGTTCACCCCTCTCACCTTTACTAACGACGCACATATTATGGGACCAACTGGGAAAATATTAGTTTACTGTCTTGGTCATCAGCTTCTAAACAATCTCCTGTTTCTGGCACAGATTACGTAGACGACGTGTTAGCACGATGACATGCACCACCAGACAAAACTTTTTATATATTTACACAGTACATCAACTCCCTACAAAGCCCAACATAAAATTCACACAGAATAGAAGATGAACAAAATCTTTAAACTTCCTTGATCACCATCACGCTAGCACAGAACGATTCATGAATTAACATATTCAGAAACCACACCACGGACACAATCATAACAACACTTCACCCAACATTCCCCCACAACACAAACACCGCCAGCCTT